CTCTGTGGAGCAATATTCTTTGATTTTAAAAAAGCGTTAGACTTAGTAAATCATGATATCCTTATTGACAAATGTAAAAAATTTAAACTTTCCAGAAAATCAATTCTTTTTCTAGAACAGAAGTCAGTGCACGTCTGTTAACGGCATATTATCTGATAATAAATCTATCTATCACGGTGTGCCCCAAGGATCAATATTGGGATCCATATTATTTAATATTTTGATAAATGATTTACCTTCATACCTATCCTCTAAAACTGACCTCTTTGCGGATAACACAACAGTCTACACTTCTGTGTCTACTGTCAAAGAATTAGAACAAAAATTTCAACTCGATGCCAATATAGTATTAGCCTGGTGTGATAAAAACCATGAGATTAAATATATCGAAAACCAAAGCTATGCTAATCACGACGCAACAAAAAAGAAATTACGTAATGAACCATTAGAAGTCGTCTCCTCGGTAAAAATTTTGGGTGTTTTTCTCAATCATAATCTAAGATGAAAAGATCATTTCGATTATAGTTCTAAAAAATTAAGCCAGAAACTATTTCAACTCCGTCAAGTTAAAAAAAATATCTTCCAGCTCCTTTCCGAATCCTTTTCTACAATGCCCACTTTCAAACACATATAGATTATTGTTGCCCAATATGGGACCATTGTGATGCTAAATCTCTTGACCATCTTTCTCGTCAGCAAATAATGGCCTTAAAATTAATTTTAGCTGTTAACCAACCTCTATAGGGTCCACAACCTTGATATACCATATTTTTACGCTATTTGAGAACGAAGGGCGGCCATTTTGTCTGTCAGTTTTGGGCCAATTTTCACGAAATTCGAACTCAGCCGTCCTTAGGGTGTAACGGTGATATAATAATACGTTTTTTTAAACCGGATAAAAGTTATGACCTCTATAGGGTCCACAAGACAAAAAACGCGATTTTCCGTACAATCAGGGGCCATTATTCAGGAAGTTACGGTCCGATATGCGCGAATATCGAAAGGAACCGAGATCTTTGGGTTATAAACTTACATTTCAAGTTTCAACAAAATCGGATAAAAATTGTGACCTCTATAGGGTCCACAACCTTGATATACCATATTTTTACGCTATTTGAGAACGAAGGGCGGCCATTTTGTCTGTCAGTTTAGGGCCAATTTTCACGAAATTTGAACTCAGCCGTCCTTAGGGTGTAACGGTGATATACTAAAACGTTTTTTTAAACCGGATAAAAGTTATGACCTCTATAGGGTCCACAATACAAAAAACGCGATTTTCCGTACAATCAGGGGCCATAATTCAGGAAGGTATGGTCCGATATGCGCGAATATCGACAGGAACTGAAATCTTTAGGTTATAAACTTACATTTTAAGTTTCAACAAAATTGGATAAAAACTGTGACCTCTATAGTGTCCACAACCTTGATGTACCATATTTTTACCCTATTTTAGAACGAAGGGCGGCCATTTTGTCTGTCAGTTTTGGGCCAATTTTCACGAAATTCGAACTCAGCCGTCCTTAGGGTGTAACGGTGATATACTAAAACGTTTTTTTTAAACCGGATAAAAGTTATGACCTCTATAGGGTCCACAAGACAAAAAACGCGATTTTCCGTACAATCAGGGGCCATAATTCAGGAAGTTATGGTCCGATATGCGCTAATATCGAAAGGAACTGAGATCTTTGGGTTATAAACTTACATTTCAAGTTTCATCAAAATAGGATTAAAATTGTGACCTCTATAGGGTCCACAACCTTGATATACCATATTTTTACGCTATTTGGGAACAAGGGCGGACATTTTGTCTGTCAGTTTTAGATCGATTTTCACGAAATTCGAACTCAGTCGTCCTTAGGTTATAACGGTGATATAATAATACGTTTTTTTGAATCGGATAAAAATTACGACCTCTATAGGGTCCACAAGCTAAAAACGCAATTTTTCGTACAATCAGGGGCCATAATTCAGGAAGTTATGGTCCGATATGCGCGAATATCGAAAGGAACTGAGATCTTTGGGTTATAAACATATATTTCAAGTTTAAACCAAATTGGATAAAAATTGTGACCTCTACAGTGTTCACAAGCTAAACACGTGATTTTACGTACAATTAAGGGCCATAATCAATGAAGTTACAGTCCGATACATACCAATATCGAAAGGAACCGGGATCCTTAGGGTGATAAACCTATATTTCAAGTTTTGTTGAAATCGGATAAAAATTGTGACCTCTAGAGTGTTCACAAACAATTGTGGATGGACGGACGGAGGCGAGGACAATATACGTCCACATGAAAATGTGGGCGTATAAAAACAGTGTATTTCAGTTAATTGTAAATTGTCCTCTGAATCTTTTTTGTCATCTGGGGTTCCTTTAAAAGTCACTATCAGTTGATATTGTAAGAAAATGTGGTCTCAGCTTTCATTTGTATGCCGATGAAACTCAATTATATATTTCATTTACACCTAATTGTCCATCTTCCTTCAATTTATCAAAATTGCAAGTTGAGAACTGCTTTAGTGAAATTCGAAAACTGATGTCCAAGAACTTTCTAAAATTGAATGATGATAAAACTGAATATTTGTTACTAGGCTCAAGACATCAATTAAGTAAATTTGAACATGATAACCTCTCTGTTATAATTGGTCATTGTGATATATTTTCATCAAATATTTGCTAAGGTTTTCTTCATCATTTTTTCGACATTCAAGATGGAATTATCTCCGTCACTATTTGAGGTATCAAGTTGAAACTTGGAGGGATATCAAAAAAATTTGTGATAGCTTCCGGAAAATTACAGAGGTCTTCCGATTTTTTCCGAACATGAATAGTTCTCTCCATTTTAAAAATTACATATTGTGGTGTTAGTCCCAGATATTATCTTTCATTTTCAAAGACCTTATTCGCTTGGGTGCCATATTGGATTTTACAAAAAACATTCAAATCGATATTCAGCCCCCATTTTAATTCCCATTTTTGGAAACTTTTTTTTGAATTAAACCTACTCCAAATGGCAACAATCCTTAGGGAGCCGATTTTTTAATTTCATTTTTGTTTACTTCTGGTTTCACTTTGATGTTTGTTCGACTTTTCACCTTCTAGATGGTGACCTAATCTTTCCATAACCATCAATAATTCATGGTGTAAAATGAATGTTGACGTGACAAGGTGTGACATGAAGTGACAGACCGAACAACTAGAATTCTTTTTTTTTTTCAGAAGCATTATAGTTTGTACATACAAAGAAACGTGGCACTCAATAATGTAAACTCTTCTGATATGAGTCATGACATTCACACTAGAAGAACAGTCCTCAATTTTGACCATAAAATGGATCCAGCATGGTTCGGTTAAAATTTGGATAGTGTAAATGAAAACTGAGTCTGGCCCAGTTATTTCCGTATATATCCGCAATTTGGCCATTATAATCATCTTTCCAGAAGGGCATTGGCCATAAAAAAATCTTTTCTGTAAAGAGTTCCACAGATACATGTAAATATTTCTGTGAGGTTCTGGAAGTGACAGCTTAAATGGCTACCACCTTGTAAATTTATTATTTTCAAGGTTTCAATGACAAGGGCAGAAATTAAATAGGGTTCCTCTTTATACATAGCAAAATAACCCTGCAATTGTGAACAGACAAAAGACATATCATCCGAATAACCAGGCCTTCACGTAAAAGGAGCGTGAACGCTCTCGCTCTCCTGGACGCGCCTGGATGTCAGTCGAGGTGCGCTTTTTATAGCTCTCCTCAATGTCTAATTTGACTCCCCTCAAAGAAAATAATCAGGAAAAATATACTGGTAATATCATATCGACAATCAACTTGCTTGTCGGCTACAATAACAGCATACCTTAGTGAGAATCCGCCATCCATTTCATAATCCATTTAACGGTAATTTTGATAATTCGGCAAAAATAACCCCAACAAGCCTGCTGGTTATTCATAACAGGTCCACTAAGTTTCCTTTGTAATAATAAACCACGTGGCGAAGGAAGACATCTCGCTCCGCATGGATTGTGAATCTCGTGCTTCGCGCCCCGTCTTCGACTCTCGATCCGTACGAATTCTAGGTAGATATGAAAATAATAATTGGATAATGCATTTTATGGTTTCACTGACCCGTTGTTAGTTAAATTTAAATATTCATTGAATAATCCCTGATAGAACACCGGATATCCCGAGAAACAAATATTAATAACTAATATATTTTTCCGTCAAGATCTTCAATGCTTTCAGATTCCCGATAACACGTGACATGCATTGGTTGGAATTAGGTCAATAAACCAGCATTGCAAGATTTATTTTTAAATAGTGTTTTAGTTTTATTCAATTTTATTTTTTACACATGCTGACAGGGATTTATTCTTAAAAATATTGCCCTTTTTATTTAAGGCCATGGCATAGTCGTACGGAATTTTATTTTATATAAAGCAATTTCAATCATGGGAGTCATGTGATCATTGTGTGGCTTGTCTTTCATCCACGAATGAAAAAAATATTGTAAGTTACGTGATAGACAAAAACATTAATTTGTGTTTTAAATATGAAGAAATGTCATACTGTCGCATCAGCTTATTTTCGCCGTAGTAGATAAATCCTAATTTCGATCGACTGATGATAAACGAAGACAGTAGTCTATTCAGGAATATTACTGACTTGAACTTGTTGAAGTCAGATATTAAAGTTAACGGGAGCTTCGAATTACCCTGTTTCTTACCGGGACCTCACTTGACCCAATTCTGGCCGGTTGGTTTCGAAATAGATTAAAATCTCTGGACTTTATCACAAATGCTAACAAAGCTCTCCTCAAGAGATTCAGGAGAGCTTTCTCAGGAGAGCGATTTCCTCTTTTTTCAATTTCAGGAGAGCTTTTTTTGACTCCCCAGGAATTTATTCCATGAAGGCCTGAATAACCATCTAATGGATGGACAGGAGGCGACCACAATATAATCCAACATAAAAATGTTGGCATTTAAAAAGGCAACAAGTACAGATATTGCACATTTAATTTCTGATAACTGTTCATTTTTCATCTATAAAATCTTGCTTTTTTATTTAGCATTAACACAAACAGAATCTCTTTGTCTAACAGGTGAATCATCTTTCGATTTCCTTGACTAGGGTGGCACCGATTGTTCTCTAACAACATTAACAGGAATTTGAACACCTTTTGGGGAATTAGCATGAAGTGCATCCACCTCAGAAACAATTATTGTATCTTTTGAGATAGTAATGCCAACTTTCGGGGGAGGTGTTGGTTTAGTCCCATAAGATAACACAGGTTTATTCGGTGGAAGAGGTGGTGGTGTGCCTCTAACTCCTTGAATTGTTTTTTTGGTATTCCCCACACTCTGTCCCAAATGAAGAGATATTTTTCTTATCGGTTGCAAAAATACTGTAGCATTACTACCTGAAGCTACATTGATGTTCTCAGCTATCGATCTATCAACAATGGCGCTACTGCCTACTTCATTTCCTTGTGTGGCTAAAAGAGTTGGGTGCTGATTTACTCCATGAACCTCTTTTCCTACTAGAGATTGTGCATGAGCAGACTGGTCAATTAGACGGCTGTCCAACACAGGTTTGACATTTTTTGGTGTTGGTTTGCTACAAGGTGAATTGGAAATAATACAATGTGGTGTAACACTGGATTTCATTTCAATACTTTGTATAGATTCACGGGTTGCTGACCGCTCTAACATGCTTTGCAACTGAATTGTTAAAGACTCAATTTGTTTATTCAAAGATCCTATGCTCAAGAACTGGTCTTTATTCTTTGACTCTTCATATGCTAGTCTACTCTTAAGCTGTTCATGTTCAACATCATGTGGTAGTTTATCAATAGCTACTTCTATATTCTTATGTTCACATGTTCCTTCCATGTTCCCTATTTCCTGATCATCTATGGGGAATCTTTCATTAGATCTATGTTTATGATGAGATACTTTATCAAGCATTTGATTACGTTCTTTGATCAGCATTATAGCAATCTCTTTATGTTTAACAGAATTGGACCTTTCCTCTTCAAGACTTGACAACATTTTCTTTAAATCTTTTTCTAGTCTTTTCACCTGACCCTTTTCAAAATCAATCTGCAAGTAAAATAATTTTCATTTCTAAGATAGCTTCCAGTCAACAAGCCAGAAACTAAATCATCCTATTTGTTTATAAATTTTATGTTATGTTCTTAAATTCTACAACAATAATCAAGGCTTAACTCTTAAGAGTACTATGACCATGAAGCTTTTAAAGATGCACTATGTAAGATATTTCATATCGTGTGTTAAAGTCAGAGAGCATAAAACTGGAATGGAAGGTCCAATACGCACCAAAATCAAAGTCTTAAGAGATCTTTTGATCAGTAACATACATTTTAAGTTTCATCTAAATCGGATAACAGTTGTGGTCTCTAAAGGGTCCACAATCTTGGTATGGATTACCAGGTGAGCGTAAAGGGGAGGGTGATGACAATATACAAAAAGCCAAAAGTGAGGCTGATGTCCCCCGCCGAAATCCCCAAATAAATAGATGACACATATTGATTAATCGCACATCTATTTTTTTCAAAAGTATCGAGCAATCAAACTGATTATCAACTATACACTAAGTTTCATCACTCTCTATCAGATAGAATCAAGGTTATCTTGTCCCAAAGCATCGACCAAGGAAATTGCTCATCTCTGCTTAGCTTTTGTTCGATATGTTAATCATTGAACTCAGTCAAGACGAACATCTACATCAAGTTTAAACATTCTACCTCAATTAGAAGCAGAGTTGTTATGTTCCAAAGTCTTGACCAATCAAAATGCTTATTGTTCCTTAGCCTAAGCAGACAATTCTCATCATCAAACTTAGTCAAGGTATTGATGTAATGAAACTATACACCAAGTTTCATCACTCTCACTCAATTAGAACTAAAGTTATCGTTTCCCAAAGCATCAACCAATCAAATTGCTTATCTCTGCTTACCCTAAGCAGAAAATGCTCATCTTCACACTCCATCAAGGCATTGACCTAATAAACACCTACACCAAGTTTGAACATTTTAGCTCAATTAGAAGGAGAGTTATTGTGTTCCAAAGTCTCGGCCAATCAAATTGCTTATCGCTCTGCTTACCCTGAGCAGAAAATGCCCATTATCGAACTTAGTCAAGGTATTTATGTAATGAAACTATACACCAAGTTTCATCACTCTCACTTAATTAGAACTAAAGTTATCGTGTCCCAAAGCATCAACCAATCAAATTGCTTATCTATACTTACCCTAAGCAGAAAATGCTCATTATCGAACTTAGTCAAGGTATTGATGTAATGAAACTATACACCAAGTTTCATCACTCTCACTCAATTAGAACTAAAGTTATCGTGTCCCAAAGCATCAACCAATCAAATTGCTTATCTCTGCTTACCCTAAGCAGAAAATGCTCATCTTCTAACTCCATCCAGGCATTGACCTAATTAACACCTACACCAAGTTTGATCATTCTAGGTCAATTAGAAGGAGAGTTATTGTGTCCCAAAAAGTGTGACGGACAGACAGTCAGACAGACAGACAGACAGACAGACGGACGAACCCATTTTAATAGTCCCCTGCTTTCTTTGAAAGCGGGGAACAACAACCCTTCTTTGTGATGTATAAAAAGCTACTTGAAAGCTTTCTTTAACATTTCGAGAACGGATAAATTCTGGATATGGGTGTATAAAATTTAATACTTCTTGTTTTAGTCTCTCCCTTTCTTTTTCCAGCATATACGTAACATCATCTCCTTGTGCAGTATCTTGGGCATGTTTGCACTTTTCATCTTCAAGCTCTGAACAAATCTGAAATTTAAATTCATACAATTTTATTTATAGACATATGAACTTTCAGTCAGTAGAGATAAAATTTGGCTATTTACACATGTAACCAGCTGCTTCCAGGCAGATATGCCCACATTTTGCAAGAGATGGATAGAGAACAAGCTAAACAAAAAGCGATTTTTCGTCCAATCAAGGGCCATAATTCAAGAAGTTACAATCCAATATGCACGAATATCGACAGAAACCAAGATCTTAAGGTTTATAAAGATATATTTCAAAATTGTGACTTCTAGAGGATCTACAACCGTGATATACCATATATTTATGCTATTTGTGTACGAAGGGCGACCACATGATTTTTTGTACAATCAAGGGCCTTTGGGTTATAAAGATCTTTGGGTTATAAAGATATATTTATTTCAAGTGTCATCAAAATCGGATCAAAATTGTGACTTCTGGCGGGTCCACAACCTTGATATACCTTATTACAAATATCGAAGCCTAATTAAATTCTCAGATTATCCACTGCCCAAGTTTTTTTCCGTGGTTTTTAACTCAGAAACTGTTGTACGTCTAACTCTTCATAAAGTTTATCAAAATGTACATCAAGCGCTCAATCTCCTTGTGCGACCTTTGACGTCACGCGAGCAGACACTCCTAATTGTCAGGCTGTCGATTAGGGAAACCCTTAAGCCCGGCCCATACCGCCACAACTTGCCCTGACTCTACCCAACGCAACGTCTTGACTCAGATAATCAGTGCAGTGTGGACTGTCCCACGACCATGATTCAATCGATTTCCGTCGCGTCGTGGCCCGTCGGCCCGATTGAACATGTTCAATCGAAGTCGGATGCAGTTTGTTGCAGTCGTAACTTATCGTGTTTGTGTGGACACTCACACGACGCAATCAATTGTCTTACTGATGTTTAGCCAATCAGAGAGTAGCATTTAGTCATGTGACTGTGCAGATCATGTGCTCCTTGTTTAACTGAGGGAAAATTCAAGATGGCAAATTTTTGGACAGAAGAGAGAGAGGATGGGCCTGTGTGGACTGGTACAGTCGTAGGCAAGTGAAGTAAAGGCGCGACCCGATTTTTTTTTACAACTACCCAAGACGCTGAGTCCTGTCGGCTTGTGTGTAGTTGTAGCGGTATGAGCCGGGCTTTACAGTTTTGTCCTGTATACGTTCTATGTGTGTTTTTCAGGGCATCCAGTATTTTTCTATTAACATTGGATATTTCTACTTTACATATGTACCAAAATTGACATTCTTTTATTGGAAATAACCACCCATAAATACTTTTCTGGGAACCTATCTTTAAATTGTGTCAAAAAGTAATATCCAGAAAATGCTGTAGTCAAAATAAGCTGATACAGCACCATGGCATTTCTTCATAGCACAATTTGTAGTCTTTTGTCCATCACGTAACTAGTCACGTAACTTGCAAAAGTTTTTATTCATTTGTCGATGATAGACAAACGGCACAATGATCATGTGACAACCATAACTGAAATTGCTATAAAATAAAATTCTGTATGACTATGATATAGCCTTCAATAATATTTTTAAAATTAAGCCTCTGTCAGCATGTATATATAACCAGCGGCTGCCAGGCAGGATACACCCACATTTTCGAGAGATGGATAGAGAACAAGCTAAAAAGAAAGTGATTTTTCCTACAATCAAGGGCCATAATTCAGGAAATTACAATTCGATATGCGCAAATATCGAAAGGAACCGAGATCTTTGGGTTATAAACTTACATTTCAAGTTTCAACAAAATCAGATAAAAATTGTGACCTCGAAAGAAACCGTGATCTTTGGGTTATAAACTTACATTTCAAGTTTCAACAAAATCGGATAAAAATCGTGACCTCTATAGAGTCCACAACCTTGATATACCATATTTTTACGCTATTTGAGAACGAAAGGCGGCCATTTGGTTTGTCAGTTTGGGACGATTTTCACGAAATTCGAACTCAGCCATTCTTAGGGTTTAACGGTGATATTCTAAAACCTTTTTTTTAAATCGGATAAAAATTATGACCTCTATAGGGTCCACAATCCAAAAAACCTCATTATCGTACAATCAGGGGCCATAATTCAGGAAGTTTCGGTCCGATATGCGCAAATATCGAAAGGAACCGAGATCTTTGGGTTATAAACTTATATTTCAAGTTTCATCAAAATAGGATTAAAATTGTGACCTCTATAAGGGTCCACAACCTTGATATACCATATTTTTACGCTATTTAAGAATGATGGGCGGCCATTTTGTCTGTCATCCTTAGGATGTAACGATGATATAATTATACGGTTTTTTAAATGAGATAAAAATTATGACCTCTATAGGGTCCACAAGCTAAAAACAAGATTTTTCATACAATCAGGGGCTATAATTCAGGAAGTTACAGTCCGATATGCGCGACTATCGAAAGGAACCAAGATCTTTGGGTTATAAACTTACATTTCAAGTTTCAACATTTTCGAGAGATGGATAGAGAACAAGCTAACAAGAAAGTGATTTTTCCTACAATCAAGGGCCATAATTCAGGAAGTTACGGTTCGATATGCGCGAATATCAAAAGGAACCGAGATCTTTGGGTTATAAACTTACATTTCAAGTTTCACCAAAATCGGATAAAAATTGTGACCTCTATAGGGTCCACAACCTTGATATACCATATTTTTACGCAATTTGAGAACGAGGGGCGGCCATTTTGTCTGTCAGTTTTGGGCCGATTTTCACGAAATTCGAACTTGGTCGTCCTTAGGGTGTAACAGTGATATAATAATACGTTTTTTTAAATCGGATAAAAATTATGACCTCTATAGGGTCCACAAGCTAAAAACGCGATTTTTCGTACAATCAGGGCCCATAATTCGGTAAGTTACAGTCCGATATGCGCGAATATCGAAAGGAACCAAGATCTTTGGGTTATAAACTTACATTTCAAGTTTCAACAAAATCGGATAAAAATTGTGACCTCTATAGGGTCAACAACCTTGATATACCATATTTTTACGCTATTTGAGAACGAACATCTCAGCCATTTTGTCTGTCAATTTTGGGGGGATTTTCACAAAATTCGAACTCAACTATCCTTAGGGGGTAAGGGTGATATAATAATACATTTTTTTAAATCAGATAAAAATTGTGACCTCTATAGGGTCCACAAGCTAAAAACATGATTTTTTGTACAATCAGGGGCCCTAATTCAGTAAGTTACGGTCCGATATGCGCGAATATTGAAAGGAACCGAGATCTTTTGTGTTATAAACTTACATTTCAAGTTTCAACAAAATCGGATAAAAATTGTGACCTCTATAGGGTCCACAACCTTGATATACCATATTTTTACGCTGTATATAGGTAATTAAGGAATAAACTTCCGAATATGCATTCGGTCACTGTGACGTCACTGGCGTCTGAGGGGATTAAGAGTGTTTTCGATAATTGGCATAGTCGTTTTTACGGGAGGTCTATTTTTACGACTATGAGTGAAGATAGCTGAATTAATTTCAACCAGATTGGCGTGAACTTGCCGTAAAGTGGATATAGTAACCACTGGCTACACACATTAAAAAGATTTTTCGTCCATCTTATGTGCACTTTAAATGTGTTAATTACTCTAGTAAGATTGGATATTTCTACTTTCCATATATACCAAAATTGACATACTTTTATTGGAAATAACCACCCCATAAATACTATTCTAGGAACCTATCTTTAAATTGTGTCAAAAGTAATATCCAGAAAATGCTGTAGTCAAAAAAAGCTGATACAGCACCATGGCATTTCTTCATAGCACAATTTGTAGTCTTTTGTCCATCACATAATATAACTAGTCACGTAACTTGCAAAAGTTTTTATTCATTTGTCGATGATTATCAAAATCACCGTTAAATGTGTTAATTACTCGGATTATGAACCACATATGGCCGATTATCACTAAGGTATGAGTGTTGTCGTAGCCGACATTTCATTATTAACAAGTAATAATTAAAGCGTTGGAATATTAGCCAAAAGTAGATTGATCCCACAAAATACAGGCGATTAAGAACACTGACCATGACTGATTCGACAATTCTCTGAGATTTTTTTTTTAAGAACCAGCGGCTGCCAGGCAGAGTACGCCCACATTTTCGAGAGATGGATAGAGAACAAGCTAACAAGAAAGTGATTTTTCCTACGATCAAGGGCCATAATTCAGTAAATTACAATTCGATATGCGCGAATATCGAAAGGAACTGAGATCTTTGTGTTATAAACTTACATTTCAAGTTTCAACAAAATCGGATAAAAATTGTGACCTCTATAGGGTCCACAACCTTGATATACCATATTTTTATGCTATTTGAGAACGAACAGCGGCCATTTTGTCCGTCAATTTGGGCCGGTTTTCATGAAATAGGAACTCAGTCGTCCTTAGGGTGTAACGGTGATAAAATAATACGTTTTTTTAAATCGGATAAAAATTATGACCTCTATAGGGTCCACAAGTTAAAAACGTGATTTTGCGTACAATCAGGGGCCATAATTCAGGAAGTTATGGTCCGATATGCACGAATATCAAAAGGAACCGAGATCCTTGGGTTATAAACTTACATTTCAAGTTTCAACAAAATCGGATAAAAATTGTGACCTCTGTAGGGTCCACAAGCTAAAAACGTGATTTTTCGTACAATCAGGGGCCATAATCCATGAAGTCTCGGTCCGATACATGCCAATATCGAAAGCAGCCGAGATCTTTTGGTGATAAACCTATATTTCAAGTTTCGTCAAAATCGGATACGAATTGTGACCCGTAGAGAGTCCACAAACAATTGTGGACGGACGGACGTCCGGACGGACAGGGGCGACGGCATAATACGTCCACATGAAAATGTGGGCGTATAAAAATTGTGACCTCTATAGGGTCCACAAGCTAAAAACGTGATTTTTCGTACAAATAGGGGCCATAATCCATGACGTTTCGATCAGATACATGCCAATATCGAAATCAGCCGAGATCTTTTGGAGATAAACCTATATTTCAAGTTTCGTCAAAATCCGATAAAAATTGTGACCTGTAGAGTGTCCACAAACAATTGTGGACGGACAGGGGCGACGACAATATACGTCCACATGAAAATGTGGGCGTATAAAATTTTTACGAATCCTTATAGATTTGCAGCGAAAGCTCTTGCGAGAATCCTTGCGTGAATTGGATTCGGGGATTCGCGTAAATTTCTAGCCCTGAGGAACATGTTTTCATATTTAATCCGAAGTAATTTACACCGAAAACCTATATTTCAATATATTGCCCACCTGTTTAGAGAACTTTATGAGTTTCCCGCCAAAATGAGTCTCCATTTTGAATTTGTCCCCCTAGCGGAATTAACCGTCTCCTTCGGAGGAATCCCCAAACTCATTGGATTGAGCAGGTCAAATTCTTATAGAAACCACCTTAAAACCGAGGTCCGAAAGAATTTTTCACAAATTTTACCAACTAATTAACCAGAAAATGCCTCATGGTGGCCATCTTGAATATTTGAATTTCGTCAAGGGTGTCAGGATGGCATTATCTGGATTCTTAATCTACACATATTGTGGCCTCAAGAGGGTCCACAACCTTGATATATACCATATATTTACATTATTTGAGTACGAGAGGCAGACATTTTGTCCGGCAGATTTGGTCCAATTTGCACAAATTTCGAATTCAACCATTATTAGGGTGTAATGGTGAGATATTCAAACATTTTTTAAATCGGATAAAAATTGTGACATCTAGAGGGACCACAAGCTAAAAACGTGACTTTTCGTACAATCAAGGGCCATAATTCAGGACGTTACGATCAGATATGCGCAAATATCAAAAGGAACCAAGATCTTTAGGTTATATAAACATGTATTTCAAGTTTCAACAAAATCGGATCAAAATTGTGGCCTCTAGAGGGTCCACAGCTTTGATATACCATATATTTACACTGTCTGCAAACGAGGGGCGTCCATTGTGTTTGGCAGTTTTGGTCCGATTTTCATGAAATTCGAACTCAACCATCATAACGGGGTAACAGTGATATATTCAAACAGGACCGAAGCTAAAAACGTGATTTTTCATACAATCAAGGGCCATAATTCAGGAAGTGACCATCCGATATGCGCAAATATCGATAGGAACCAAGATCTTTGGGTTATAAATATGCATTTCAAGTTTCATCTAAATCAGATGAAAATTGTGACCTCTAGAGTGTCCACAAACAAATTGTGGACGTCCGGACGGACAGGGGCGACGACATAATACGTCCACATGAAAATGTAAGTATATAAAAATGTTAGGTGGATATTTCCATGTCAAGGCTTAAAATGGGCTTTGGCTGCCGGACTATAAGCACTGTATATAAATGAGTACTCTGCTTATTTTCTTGATAATAGAAAGAAGAGGTTCTCACACATTTGTCATTACAACACTATACCAGATCCTCATGTATGGTTGTTTAATTAGTAATAAATTCATACCTTCTGTGTTCTTTTCTCTGAATTAGCAAGTTGTTCCCTCATTTTAAGTTGAGCTTTCCGTTGTGTGGCTATTAGGTTTTCAAGTTGGGCTAACTGATTATCATACATTGATTTAATGGCAGATTCATCAAATATATTATCTTTGGTGTTGTCAGAGTCTCGCTGTAATGCCATAAACGGATCTCCAAGACCAAATCTGCCATATTTAGCCTGATAATAAAGCTGTTTGGATTTTTCTGCCTGAAAATTTCAGATCAATAACATATTGAACCTCTTCTATTATCAAAATTATAAAAGATAGGTTGCCAGGCAACGAAACATACGCCCACAGCAGCTAAGTCGTTCGAGCAGTCAACAAGAGTTGTCGCATATTTTTCCTATTGTCGGTAATGAAACATTTATAATACACTAAAATCTGATTAACAACTCATTAAACATACATTATGCAAGAGCTAAACCTGCCTATTACAGGTCTTTCTTTAGGCCTGAAATGTTATCTAAACATATTGAACCTCTTCTATTATCAAAATTATAAAAGATAGGTTGCCAGGCAACGAAACATACGCCCACAGCAGCTAAGTCGTTCGAGCAGTCAACAAGAGTTGTCGCATATTTTTCCTATTGTCGGTAATGACACATTTATAATACACTAAAATCTGATTAACAACTCATTAAACATACATTATGCAAGAGCTAAACCTGCCTATTGCAGGTCTTTCTTTAGGCCTGAAATGTTATCTAAATTATTAATTAGACATTAATTAACTTATCCAGACCATAATCAACTCTCGATGTCAACACTAGCCTGCGATATTTATTGGATTAGGATCCGATTTGCTGCTCAACTATCATTCATGATTTAATCACGAAATGGATAATCGAGACTATGTTTTTTATCGTACCGACATTAGTAATGATGATCGAGGCTAGGCCGAAAATACAGTCGCTAAAATCTTGGTTCAATACAATACCAACTTTGTTCCTCAAACTAAGTTAAATTCAGTGAGTTTTTCAACATTTCTAGGACATTTAAATGAGGACAAAAAAAGTTTGACTTCTTAATTTGTTCAATGTAGTACATTTTGATCATCAATTAGAAGAATGCCCACGGCAGCATGCTATGGCCTGTTGTACAATGTGCGTGTGCTAAACATTGTTGATTTCAAATTAAGAATAACTTTGTTGTTACTTTGTATTAGACCATTTAGATGCCCAATTATATATCTTCATTTGAATATATGAACATTTTTTGACTAGAATAATAGTTTGTGTGTTATTTTGTGTTTTCTGCAATATGTGTAAAAGTATTACTTTCCAGATTTATAATATTGGAAAAATTAGATCTTTCATTGATAGTGACACAACTAAAATGCTGGTAAACACTATGGTTACATCAAGACTCGACTACTGTAATTCACTTTTGTGTACAATCTACCTGAAAATAAAATCGAACGACTTCAGAAACTTCAAAATAAAGCAGTCTGGATCATGACCAAGACTAAACCAAATAAACACAAGACACCAATCCTGAAAAATCTCCATTGTCTTCCAGTCCGTCAACGTATCAATTTTACCAGCGCATTTACACACACATTTTACAAGAGATGGATGGAGAACAAGCTTAAAACAAACGCAATTTTTTGTACAATCAGGGGCAATAATCCAGAAAGTTATGGCCTGAAGGGACTGAGATCTTTGGGATATAAAGATATGTGTTAAGTTTCATCAAAATCAGATAAAAAATTGTGACCTCTAGAGTGTCCACAACCTTCGTATTAAACACTTCTACGCAATTTGCGTACAAAGAGCGGCCATTTAAATTTTCCCGAAATTCGAATTCAACCTTCATTGTGGTGGAATGGTGATGTATTTTTAAACGGTTTTTAAAATCGGAAAAAAATTGTGACCTCTACTGAATCTGCAAGCTAAAAACGCAATTTTTCGTACAATCAAGGGCCATAATTCAGGAAGTTACGATCCGATATGCGCGAATATCGAAAGGAACCAGGATCTTTGGGTTATAAACATGCATTTCAAGTTTCATCAAAATCAGATCAAAATTGTGACCTCTAGGAGGTCCACAATCTTGATATACAGTTCCTCACAAATTTTTGGGACCGAAATCGCGTCAACGCGCCGAAAAAAAACTCTCCGAAATCTCTTGATTCCGCAGCGATTTTTCTCTAAGATTCGCTTGAAATCCACCGTGTTTCGCTAGGAATTCACCGTGTTTCTCTAGGAATTCACCGTGTTTCGCTAAGAATACATTGTGTTTCGCTAAGAATACATCGTGTTTGCCATGCTTCCTCAAGGAATTCGCGAGCCTACATGTAAGTACATGTACCTTAAGCTAGGGTCGAACTAATATTGTATATAATAAATTGAAGAAGTTGTAATATAGTAATGCTGCCGTGAACACGTGTACACGTATAATGTACAGGCCGGTTTGAATAACAACAAAATGAGTTAGGTAATCCCGGGAAAACGTTTACCAGCATTCTGTATCGGTTATAATTTTTTTTCTAACGCACTGTACATGCATTATGTGGGGCCAAAATGTATGCAAACTATGAACAACTTAGAGGGACCACAAGCTAAAAACGCGATTTTTCGTACGATCAGGAGCCATAAATCAGGAAGTTACGATACGATATGTACGAAAATCGACAGGAACCAAGATTTATCGTACAATCAGGGGCCATAATTCAGGAAGTTATGGTCCGATATGCGCGAATATCGAAAGGAGCCAAGATCTCTGGGTTATAAACATACATTTCAAGTTTAAACCAAGCTAAAAACGTGATTTTTTGTACAATCAGGGGCCATAATCCATAAAGTTACAGTCCGATACATGCCAATATCTAAAGGAACCGAGATCTTAGGGTGATAAACCTATATTTCAAGTTTCATTGAAATCGGATGAAAATTATGACCTGTAGTGTGTTCACAAACAATTTTGGACGGACAGACGTGGGGCGACGACAATATACGTCCACATGAAAATGTGGGCGTATAAAAATACTGTCTATTACGTACATGTATTCTGCTCTAAATGACGATTCTTCACCTCAATACACCTTGCAGAACCCTTTGTTCACAATCAGACGACCTCTTACACTGTAACCCTTGTATCGTCTAATAAGGGGTTTATGTGGCCGTATAAAAAAATACTGTCTATTACGTACATGTATTCTGCTCTAAATGACGATTCTTCACCTCAATACACCTTGCAGAACCCTTTGATCACAATCAGACGACCTCTTACACTGTAACCCTTGTATCGTCTAATAAGGGGTTTAATTTCAAAACATCGTTTGATATTGATAAAAATCGTTTGGAAATTACAACAAGCGGTTGCCATGCAAGATACGCCCACATTTTGCAAGAGATGGACAGAGAACAAGCTCAAAGGGCCATAATTCAGGAAGTTATGATCCAATATGTTCGAATATCGAAAGGAACCAAGATCTTTTGGTTATAAATATGTATTTCAAGTTTCATCAAAATCGGATCAAAATTGTGACCTCTATAGGGTCCACAACCTTGATATACCATATTTTTACGCTATTTGAGAACGAACGGCGGCCATTTTGTCTGTCAATTTTGGGCCAATTTTCACGAATATTCGAACTCCGTCATCCTTAGGGTGTAACAGTGACATAATAATACGTTTTTTAAAATCTGATAAAAATTATGACCTATATAGGGTCCACAAGCTAAAAACGCGATTTTTCGTACAATCAGGGACCATAATTCAGGAAGTTAAGGTCCGATATGCGCAAATATCGAAAGGAACTGAGATCTTTGGGTTATAAAATTACATTTCAAGTTTCAACAAAATCTGATAAAAATTGTGACCTCTATAAGGTCCACAACCTTGATATACCATATTTTTACGCTATTTGAAAACGAACGGCGGGCATTTTTGTCTGTCAATTTTGGGCCGATTTTCACGAAATTCGAACTCAGTCGTCCTTAGGGTGTAACGGTGATATAATAATACGTTTTTTTAAATCGGATAAAAATTATGACCTCTATAGGGTCCACAAGCTAAAAACGCGATTTTTCGTACAATCATGGGCCATAATTCAGGAAGTTACGGTACGATATGCGCGAATATCGAAAGGAACCGAGATCTTTGGGTTATAAACTTACATTTCAAGTTTCATTAAAATCAGACAAAAATTGTGACCTCTATAGGGTCCACAACCTTGATATACCATATTCTTACGCTATTTGAGAACGACCGGCAGCCATTTTGTCTGTCAATTTTGGGCCGATTTTCACAAAATTCGAACTCAGTCGACCCTAGGGTGTAACGGTGATATAATAATACGTTTTTTTATATCGGATAAAAATTATGACCTCTATAGGGATCCACAAGCTAAAAACGCGATTTTTCGTACAATCAGGGGCCATAATTCAGGAAGTTACAGTCCGATATGCGCGAATATCAAAAGGAACCGAGATCTTTGGGTTATAAACTTACATTTCAAGTTTCAACAAAATCGGATAAAAATTGTGACCTCTATAGGGTCCACAAACCTTGATATACCATATTTTTACGCTATTTGAGAACGAACGGCGGCCATTTTGTCTGTCAATTTTGGGCTGATTTTGACGAAATTCAAACTCAGTCGTCCTTAGGGTGTAACGGTGATATAATAGTACGGTTTTTTAAATCGGATAAAAATTATGACTTCTATAGGGTCCACAAGCTAAAAACGCGATATTTCATACAAACAGGGGCCATAATTCAGGAAGTTACAGTCCGATATGCGCGAATATCGAAAGGAACTGAGATCTTTGGGTTATAAACTTACATTTCAAGTTTCAATAAAATCGGATAAAAATTGTGACCTTTATAGGGTCCACAACCTTGATATACCATATTTTTACGCTATTTGAGAACGAACGGCGGCCATTTTGTCTGTCAAATTTGGGCCGATTTTCACGAAATTCGAACTCAGTCGTCCTTAGGGTGTAACGGTGATATAATAATACGTTTTTTTAAATCGGATAAAAATTATGACTTCTATAGGGTCCACAAGCTAAAAACGCGATTTTTCGTACAAACAGGGGCCATAATTCAGGAAGTTACAGTCTGATATGCGCGAATATCGAAAGGAACTGAGATCTTTGGGTTATAAACTTACATTTCAAGTTTCAACAAAATCGGATAAAAATTGTGACCTCTATAGGGTCCACAAGCTAAAAACGTGATTTTTCGTACAAACATGGGCCATAATCCATGAAGTTTCGATCCGATACATGCCAATATCGAAAGCAGCCAAGATTTTTTTGGGATAAAGCTATATTTCAAGTTTCGTCAAAATCAGACAAGAACTGTGACCTGTAGAGAGTCAACAAACAAATTGTGGACGGACGGACGGACAGGGGCAACGACAATATACGTCCACATGAAAATGTGGGCGTATAAAAATCGTTTAATTGGTACTATGGTTTAAACATGCATTATGCAAGAGCAAAATCTGCTGATTACAAGTCTTTCTTTGGGCCTGAAATGTTATCTAATTTATCAATTAGACATTAATTAACTTATCCAGACCATAATAAACTCTCAATGTCAAGGCTAGCCTTCGATTTTGGCTGGATTAGATTCCTATATTTCACTAACGGCCACTGATAATTAAATCAGAAAAAGTGGATAATCAAGACTATGCTGTTTATATTAATGATTCTAGAAATGATGACCGAGACTATGCAAAAATTTCACCCGCTTCTTTCTCGGCTCATAGTGGATCAATTTGACTGAAATTTTCAGCAAATTACCTTAACACTATCTAGTTTTTAACTATTATAGAGAGAACTGCCATCGCTTTATCTAATCTCCCATAATGTATCTTTAATTTAATGGTATACCGTTTAATTTCTCTGAGAGGGGTTTAGGAATGGCCGACGCGTTGACTTATCTAATGCCTTTATTTATTAGACGAGCAGTCCAATTTCCCGAGATGCGTTTAGAAATCAACACCTGTTAAGGAGTGTTATTGTGTTCCAAAGTCTCGACCAATCAAATTGCTTATTGCTCTGCTTACCCTGAGCAGGAAATGCTCATTATCGAACTTAGTCAACATATTGATGTGATAAGACTATACACCAAGTGTCATCACTCTCACTTAATTAGAACTAAAGTTATCGTGTCCAAAAAGCATCAACCAATCAATTTGCTTATTTCTGCTTATCCAAAGCAGAAAATTCTCATCTTCGAACTCCATCAAGGTATTCACCTAATAAACACCTACACCAAGTCAGAGGCATAGCCGTGAAATATATATTGGGGGTGGAGGTCCGCAACCCTAACCCGAACTCATTTTTAAAACCCCTAACCCTAACTCATTTTTGAAACCCCTAAAAAATATAAACAAACACCATGTGGCCATGCTGTCTACCAAGACACCATGTGCAAAAGCATTATGGTTACGTTGCTGGCTGAGCAGGCGATAAATATTTGGTTTAGGCGATAATGTTTTTGGGTACCTACATGCGATTCACTCTGATAAGTGGCAGAAAAAAATTAACAAAATCTTACTGACAGGCTAACTAGACACAATTTTATGGAACACAGTTACTTTTCACTTCACACATGTTTCCAGGATGATTCTCTCTGTGTTTTATTTTAGCAATGTAAACCATATTGGGATATGTACAGGTTTTATACAGATAGAATCTTAACTAATCCTAATAATTGTTGTAAATAAATAGGAGTTTGGGCCTACTATGTAAATATTGGGGGGGTCCAAGTATATTCAGACCCCCCCCAGAAAAACAACCCAAGTGTGACGCCCATGCACCAAGTTGGAACATTCTAGCTCATTTAGAAGGAGAGCTTTTGTGTTCCAAAGTCTCGGCCAATCAAATTGCTTATCCCTATGCTTACCCTAAGCAGAAAATGTTCATTATCGAACTTAATGAAGGCATCAACCTACTAAACACCTTCACAAAGTTTGAACATTCTTGCCCAATTAGAAGGAGACAGACAGACTGAGAGACGGACAAACTCATTTTACTAGTCCCCTGCTTTCTTCAAAAGGCGGGGGACAATAAAGCTTTAATGTGAAATCTTAAAAATATTGAAGGTATACATAAATTCACAGTACTGTAGAATATATGCAAGTAAGGAAATGTGTGGGTAGATACAGAAAAGTTTGAGTAAAGTTATTTAATTAGTTCATCGGAGGCAATTGTCATGTATATCCCGGTGTCACTACAAATACGGGTCATTAGAAACAAACAATTAATAACCACAGCATAAAATAACACAATTATGGCACAATTAAAAACAAGTTATAGTTATATAATATAGGGTAATATAGGTAAAAGGCATGGACAAAAAACAGATTGAATGAAGCTACATGTAAAAGTAATGGCCAAAATATAATTTCTTACTCTCAAAGCAGCAATAGTAATGTCTCTAGCTTGTAATTCTCCTTCAAAATAACTGAGAAGTCTTAATAAATCAGATTTACTCCAATCTGGATTAGGATGGCGCTGTAATAAAATAAATTAATTAATAAATCTAAAGTTCAATTAAGGTCCATATTCAATAAGAACCGTACCTACACTTTCAAGGAGGACTGTTCTTATTGGTTCAATTCACAAAGACTTACATTTTTTAATTTTGTAAAAGCGGGGGGACAGCAATACTCCCTTAAAAGAGTAACATAGGCTGAACCGGCTGATAGTCCTGTGCAGCTGCTGGATCAAACAATGATGCTGGCGAAGAGAGCAGTAAGACCAAGAGGTAGATATTTATAAAAAATCCCAACTCAACAGCAGTAAGAACAGTTTGAAGGTGGTTTATTCAAAAGTTTCGAGTTGAGACACCCTTTATCAATGAATGACTTTAATGATCTTGTGATGCCTTTATATAGACAATGATCATGACATCACAAGATTCTTAAATTTATTAAAAGATAGGGCAGTCAACAAGATTGTCGCATATTTTTACTTTTTTTCGGTAATGAAACATTTAGAAAACACTAAAATCTGATTAAGAGTAACAACTCATTAAGTAATTATCAGAAAATCATTAGAATTTGTTTGGCTTTTATAAAGTTCTGCTCCATGCTAACGGTTAGTATAAGAAAAATTTAATATCATGGATTCAGCTGTCAAGTTATCAAAATTCATTGAAAATCAATATATACTTGTTCGTCTCAAGACCTTTAACTCTGTGTATCAATCTGATGATAGCTTTAGCCTCTGGAGCCATTACAAGATTTTTCAAAGTCATCAAGGGCCATGACTTTGGAAGTAATTATCGAATAATTATTGTCTCATGACCTTAAACACTGTGTATAAATTTAAAGTCAATCGGATATTGACTTTGGCCTCAGTAGCATCCAAAAGATATTTTGAAATGATCAAGGGCCATAACTCTGGCAGTAATTATTGGAAATCGCTGAAAATCAATAGGGTTCTTTGTCTCATGACCTTAAACACTGTGTATAAATTTAACGTCAATCGGATATTAACTTTGGCCTCTAGAGCGTTCACAAGATTTTTAGAAGTGATCAAGGGCCATAACTCAGGCAGTAGTTATCAGAAATCATGGGCCATAACTCTGGCAGTAATTATCGGAAATCACTGAAAATCAATAGGCTTCTTCATCTCATGACCTTAAACACTGTGTATAAATTGAATGTCAATCAGGTATTAACTTTAACCTCTAGAGTGTCAGGGGCGACAACAATATATGACCACATTTCAATGTGGGCGTATAAAACACGATTTTTCGTACAATCAAGTGATTTTTCCTACTATCAAGGGCCATAAATCAGGAAATTACAATTCAATATACGCGAATATCGAAAGGAACTGAGATCTTTGTGTTATAAACTTACATTTCAAGTTTCAACAAAATCGGATAAAAACTGTGACCTCTATAGGGTCCACAACCCTGATATACCATGTTTTTACGCTATTTGAGAACGAACGGCGGCCATTTTGTCTGTCAATTTTGGGCCGATTTTCACGAAATTCGAACTCAACCATCCTTAGGGTGTAACGGTGATATAATAATACCGTTATTTTAAATCGGATAAAAATTATGACCTCTATAGGGTCCACAAGCTAAAAACGCGATTTTTCGTACAATCAGGGGCCATAATTCAGGAAGTTACGGTCCGATATGCGCGAATATCGAAAGGAACCGAGATCTTTGGGTTATAAACTTACATTTCAAGTTTCAAAAAAATCGGATAAAAATTGTGACCTCTATAGAGTCCACAACCTTGATATACCATATTTTTACGCTATTTGAGAACGAACGGCGGCCATTTTGTCTTTTTGGGCCAATTTTCACGAAATTCGAACTCAACCTTCCTTAGGGTGTAACGGTGATATAATAATACGTTTTTTTAAATTGGATAAAAATTATGACCTCTATAGGGTCCACAAATTAAAAACGTGATTTTTCGTACAATCAGGGGCCATAATTCAGGAAGTTAGAGTCCGATATGCGCGAAGATCGAAAGGAACCGAGATCTTTGGGTTATAAACTTACATTTCAAGTTAAAAAATTGGATAAAAATTGTGACCTCTATAGGGTCCACAAGCTAAAAACGTGATTTTTCGTACAATCAGGGGCCATAATCCATGAAGTTTCGATCCGATACATGCCAATATCGAAAGCAGTTGAGATTTTTTGGGGATAAACCTATATTTCAAGTTTCGTCAAAATCTGATAAGAATTGTGACCTGTAGAGAGTCCACAAACAATTGTGGACGAACGGACGGACAGGGGCGACGGCATAATACGTCCACATGAAAATGTGGGCGTATAAAAATTATGACCTCTATAGCGTCCACAAGCTAAAAACGTGATTTTTCATACAAACAGGAGCCATAATCCATGAAGTTTCGATCCGATACATGCCAATATCGAAAACAGCCGAGATTTTTTGGAGATAAACCTATATTTCAAGTTTTGTCAAAATCGGATACGAATTGTGACCTGTAGAGTGTCCACAAAGAAATTGTGGACGGACGGCCGGATGGACAGGGGCGACGACAATATACGTCCACATGAAAATGTGGGCGCATAAAAATGGTGTAAAATTAAGCTATTTACAACCCATTCAGCATCTTCATATTTTAAAATATTTCTTCGTAACTTTTATAAACTTGTAGTAAAAATCTATACGAAGAGAATGTATGTAAAAATGAGTCTGTAATATTAGCAGTTGCCAAGAAATAGGCAATTTTGCATGTGTTACTTTTCACGTTATTTTTCCGGTAAAAGAGTCAATTATCATTTGATTTCAATATTTATTTTACCATTTGATGCCTAATGCCAATTTTGACTAGGTCAAACCATTTTAACATTAACACTGTCACCGGAAATGACCTCATTTGGGCAAAAACTGTATTTTTAGGATTCAAAACAGATATTTCATTCAAATGAGTCTAATTTGTAATGTTTTTCAAATTATGAAATTTAATTCCAATCAACAAACAGAATGAACACATACGATCATACAGATACCAGTACCACAAAAGGGTTTCTAACTCGTACGGTTGCAGAGAAATGGACAATTTTCTACAAATCACTTTTCAAGGTTTTTGGTCTATAAAAGTGGCAATTATTATTCGATTTTCATAAAATGTTCACCATGTGATGCCTTATGCCATTTATGATTTCATAGAAATAATTTAACATTTTCATTATCCCTGAAAGTAACGTCATTTTGGCAAAAACTGTATTTTTAGCCTCCAAAAAAAACATTTTTTTTAAGTGAGTTATATTTATTATTCGTTAAAGATTATGATATTTGACTCCAATGGACATATAGATTGAATCAATACGATCATATAGATGTCCAAAAATAGCTTGTCGAGAAATAACCAATTTTGTCAGGATCACTTTTTAAGATTTTTTTTGCATTTTAATTTCCCATTAGAAAGTCAGCTAACTTAGCGGTAAGTTAGTAACAAATTTTGTCAGGATCACTTTTTTGACATATGTAACACATGGTAACAAATGTATGAATGGAATTGATATTGCCAGGTTTGATTAATTCTGCGTCCATTTTATAACACGTCTGCAACGTTTATGTGGAAATCTGTTTATCGGTTCCATTGGTACTGGAAGTGATATGAGTTCAAGGGTAACGTGGCACCGAAAGTGGCATAAGTTCAAGGGTAACGTGGCATCAGTGAAACCCGTTATTACTGCTTCGCAGTTCTAGTTTTTAATATCATATTACTGGTTACAAATTATTTTTGAGAAAAATATATCCCCAGAAAGTATTTCAATCTGTACTTAGAAGGCAATCAAACTATGTTTATTCAATGCAGTACTCTTTTATTGTAACTCCAGAAATAACAATAATCTGAAGAGGAATGGGAATATATTGCTTTGTACCAAACAATTTTTTTTTCAGGCATTGACACAAGCACCAATATTCTTGCCCCCCTTCACTCCATGCTTCAGTTCAGTTCCAAAAATACAGATTCTTCAACTGATGACTAAAGTTTACAAGTTCCGGAAAGGGTACATTTATATAAAGTATTATTATAATGGTCAAATACTGTGTTTCTCTGGCTACAAATATGTGCATTGAGTTCCTAATTTTACAATGTAGGCCCTTCAGCACAGATATTTGTTTTTTATCGTGGTATGCAGTTTTTTTTTAAAAATTGTTGCTCATTGGTTGTGTGTAGATAATTCTGTTTCCATTAGTAGCGGGGGAGGGTGGAGTTTTTGGTTCTTTGATAATGTATCATAACATTTGATTCTTTATACACGTCTTTATTTCTTTGTATTTGCATATGACTTAAATGACCTCAAGACATGAATGCCAAAATGTTTTGTTTATTTGCTTAGAATATATCTATCTATTAGTTTTAATAAATGAACATCCTGTGTTAATGTAAGTCTTTTTTTTTCAGAAGGAATTTGAATTCCTAACTTTTCCATTAAGATTGATACATTTAGCATTGTATTGTTGTAGATCTTTTTTAAAAATAATTTAATAACCAGAGATATTTTATTAATTTATGTAGTGTACTGTTATTGCTTGTGTTAATGGAAATAAATATATTTTTATTGGGCATATAGTAATAGTTGTTTTCGATTTCTGAAACAACTATTCTTTGGCAACTGATTAGCTGTCACCTACAAAATGAATGAACACTATGTCTTATATACATATAATAATGTATTTTATTTATTATTAACGTGTCACCATTTATACAAGACTGACAATTTCATAAGCTCTTCTCCTCCCTCCCTGTTTTACCTTGACATTTAAAGTAGGGTCCACAAGCTAAAAACGTGATTTTTTGTACAATCAGGGGCCATAATTCAGGAAGTTACGGTCCGATATGCGCGAATATCGAAAGGAACCGAGATCTTTGGGTTATCGACTTACATTTTCAAGTTTCAACAAAATCGGATAAAAAATGTGACCTCTATATTGTCCACAGGCTAAAAACGTGATTTTTCGTACAGACAGGGGCCATAATCCATTAAGTTTCGATCCGAT